TGTAAAGTGGGGGTATGAGCAGGACCAACTTTAAGGGGTCTTTGTGAAGATAAAAGGAGTTGGGGCAGCCATGGAAGCTTTTCAAAGAGTACCATTGGTAGGGGTGTCCATGGCTCGCTCCACCTTAGATAGTCAGCCCTCTGTTCCCACCTACAGGGACCATCCTGAGCTGGGCCATCCACACCCCCCATTTTCATTACTCAGAATGCAGCCTACTGGGGTAGGCTGAGTGGGAAGCTAACTGTCACGTAATTACAAAGGTTAATTGCAGGATTCAACAACAAGAAGGAGGGAGCCCAGCCCACTCATAAATACAGCCGATTAAGAAACAAGCATCATTTTGTAATTATGCCACTGACAGAAACACACCATCCCACTTAGCAGTCTGAGCCAGGCGGGGAGTTCCCCCAGATACTCCACTGATGCCCCCTCCACAGGGGTTTCTACATCCCCATCAGACCTCAGTGGTATCACCCAGTATTGTGTTCTTCAGAAGCAGCAAGTGGCCTTGGGCCTAGAAGGAGGTCCACCCTGCTGCTTCCTTGAAGCAGTGCCCGCTGGAGTCCCTAAGAAGTCAATTAACAGCATCTGGCTAATTAAAGCAAGATGTTACATTTCACTCGTTGTCTCAGTCAGAGCTCCTCAGGAGCCTGAGAGAAGGAGCCCCCACGTCCCAACCAACTCCCCCTTTCATGTGGCTCCAGGGAGACAAAGTTTCTCTGATCCCTTTGAAAGCTGTGGTCCCAGAAGCCCCAGAGCAGCAGGCCAGGCCACCCAAGGGAGGACTGCAGTTCAAAGCCAGCCTGGTGGGCACGGGGGGGGGGGTCCAGTTGGGATTGAGAATAATTAGGGCATTCCAGACCACAAGAATCAATAACATAATTAACAAATATTGTGCTATTCCTCAGAATCTTGCTACAAATTATGCTGTCTTTGATCATACAATGTTCCCTGACTGTTAATGACATGTAATGTTAATTACCAGAGAAAGGGAACAACTCAGAATGAAGACTACCTTGGAGATTAACTTTTCTTTCAGGAGTGGCAGAGCCTGTGAGGGGGGGCTTTCCCCATATTGAGGTGACATGTAACCTCAGAAAGCCCAGCTCCCTTGTCCCAGGGGCGCCAGAAACACACCATCCCTTAAGAAGAGGATGACTAACACAGAGTAGACATCCTATAAAGGCAGGAAGGAAGGCAGGAAGGAAGGAAGGAAGGCAGGCAGGAAGGAAGGAAGAAGGAAGAGATTCACCTGTTAAGATCTTTGGAAATGAGGGCAGGAAAATTTGTGAGTCATAACCTAGTCCCATTTTTTCTAAATAGGGATATTGAGGCTCAAAAAGAGGAAGGGACTTTCTAAAGTCACACCCCTTGTCCCTAAGTTGGGATGAAGACTTAAATGTCAGAGGATCAGTCCCATCCCTATCACCATTAACCACTTTGTTATTTGGTAGAAGTTGGGAAAGATTCAAGGGACAAAGAAAAAATATATTGGAGGTAAGGAGGAACCCATAAAATGTACTGGGAACATTTCAGACATGTCTAGCCTCACACCTTTGACCTACTTGCAATTCCCCCAAGTAGGAATGGATACCCCAATCAGCTAAGACATCCCCTATAACAAAGGCTACATGCAGGAAACCGCAGAACCATGATCTAGGTTTTCAGAGAAAAGTCTCTGGGTTTCTCCCAAATCCAGAAGAGAAGTCAGAGTGGAGAAATGGGCCACCACACCCCTCCACTTGGCACCCACAAACCACCACTGCACAGTCTGGGGTTGAGTCCCCAAGAAAACCAAGGCCTCACTACCTGAACTGCCCTCTACCATAGGGAAGGCAGGGACTCAGAACAAAGTGCCCTGCAGCCCTGGGACATTGGCTTCCAGTCCTGCTCTGTCACCATTCACAGACAGATCACCCCCTTCTCTGGTCCTGGGTTTCTTAATCTGTCAAGGGCGGTCACCACCTCAGGTAATCACTACTCTTTCCGGGCTGATATCCTGGATTTGATAGGATAAGAGAAATCTCTACCTCTTAGTCTGTTGGAGTCCTCAGTTTCCCCTCTTGCCCACTCAAGAATGTCTGATTTCCTACAGCAAATGCCTCTCCCAGGGAGAACAGGCCATTAGGTATGGTTGACTCCCTCAGTTCCCAATGGAGAATTGCTCCAAGCAGCTGAGGGAGAGGAATCCCCAGCTCAGGGAGCCCAAGTCCACCTCCCCTTTTCCCCAGGGGCCAGGAGGAAAACTCCCAGCTCCATTCACAGCAGGGCAGAGAGCAGGCTCTGGGAGGGTAGGACAAGAAGAGTATAGGATATAGGAGTCAGTAGGATATAGGAGTCAGTACCTCCCCACCCCATTGCTGCCTAGATGTTCCTCTGTCAGAGCCTGGTACCCACCTCAAAAGCAATCACAGGCATTAAGAGGCACAATGGCCTGGCCCAGGGCAGAGTGAGGAGGGTTCAGGCAGATGCTGCTGTATGACAGCCCTAACCCTCCTGCCTTCCGAAAGCCAGGCCCCAAGGATCCAGTCTTAAGAGCCACCTGCCTGCTGCATGGAGTCTTGCTTCAGGAAGCGGAAGAAGCCCAGCTCCGCCACACCACCTCACCCACCCACAACTCCAGCTCCTAGTTCAGCTTGGACGCTGCTCGGTCCTCCAGGAAATGTGGGCCCAATCACCAGGGATGGTGGGGTGATGGCCGAGCAGGTTTCTGTGTGTTGGTGCCCCCACTTGTTTAACAGAAGAAACCCACTTTCATCTCAAGTCACATCTTTCCCTTCAAGGCATCTTTAGTGCTCTCATGGGGTAGAAGGGCTCCAAGGAGGGCCCCTATTTTTCAGAGACAAAATAAAGACACAAAGATCATGAGTCACTCAATGCAGGGTCAGGGACAGAACCCAGACCCTCCCTTCCTCCCACCCTACTTGCACTGACTCAGGACTTGTCTGTGCTGTGTAAGTCATCTCCCAGCATCGTTTCCAGGGCAGAGAAAGTAGAGAGACTATTTTGCAGCTTGGTAACCCAGAAGGCTGGGCTTACCCTGACATCTGATAAGCCCCACCTAGGATCCTGGAAGGGTGGGGTGAGCCTTGTCCTCCCCGAGTCCTTGCTCCTCAGTACAGTGGCGCATGACCATGCTCCCCCTGGACATTCCTGTGTTTGAAGTTTTCACGGAGAGAACCACTGGCTTCCGGAAATCTCTGCGTCCTTGACAGGAGAATGTACACTGAGGGAGGCACATGCCTGAATTAGGACACCCACCACTGACTGCCTGTCCCCATCACTTTTGTTTTTTGTATGGTTTTTTTTTTTTTTTTTTAGAGGCATGTTTTATTTATTTATTTGTTGGTTTGTTTGTTTGTTTTGTTTATACATGCACTGGGTACAGTCAGAAGCGCGGGAGGGTGAGAGAATTCACCAGAGCCAGAGCGGGGAGCAGAGCAGGCAGAAGGACCGAAGTACACTGCTGAGGGGAGCAGCGGGCGGCAGGAGAGGTCCGTGTGCCATGTGGGACCCTCCTCTGGTGGCCGGGGAGCAGCCGGGGATCGAACCAGCGCTGCAGAGGCTGCGTGCAGCTTCGCAACCCAGCGCTCAACCGCTGCGCCACCGGGGAGGCCCGTATGTTTTTTTTTTTTTTTAAGATATATTTATTTATTTATACAAGCACTGGGTACAGTCAGAAGCGCGGGAGGGTGAGAGAATTCACCAGAGCCAGAGCGGGGAGCAGAGCAGGCAGAAGGACCAAAGAACACTGCTGAGGGGAGCAGCGGGCGGCAGGAGAGGTCTGTGCACCATGTGGGACCCTCCTTTGGTGGCCGGGGAGCAGCCGGGGATCCAACCGGCGCTGCAGAGGCTGCGGGCAGCTTCGCAACCCAGCGCTCAACCACTGCGCCACGGGGGAGGGCCCCCATCACTTTTGAACAGCGCATACCCCAGGGGCTAGTGAGCCCAATTGGCAGCAGTCTGGGCCCCAGGGCATGGGTCCCCCCAGGAACAGGCCATACCAGAGGAAATCCAGACCTTAGAGGAGATCACTCCTCCCCGGGGAAACCCCTGCCCACAGGCTGATCCTCTGTGTGCTTGGAATCACCTCCCTGATGGGGCGCTCCCCCTTCCTTTGTCCAGGACACCTCCAGCCCTCACTCCCTGCCTCTCCCCGCACCCTACCCCACCATCTTCTGTGGGGAATCTCTGACACAGACACTGTCCTCTCTACTCAGGCCTGCTGCTTTCCACCCAGGCTTTCAATTCTTCAGGGGACAGGGCCCTTATTTATTTGGCATCCATGTTCCCCACAGCACTGACTTGCAGCAAACAGGTGATTGATAAAAGCTCTTCAGTGGATGGGCAGATGAAAAGAGTGAAGCAGGTTCACTTTGGCTTGATGAAATGCCCATGGTGTGATCTCAAGAAGCACTTTGTTTCTTTGGCCATCATATATGACCCCCAGGTGCGCCCAGGTACAGAGGAGCCACTTCTCACCTAGGTTTCAGGAAGAACCTGGAGCATTGAGAAGTAATGGATCTGGGACTATGGAGTCCAGAGAGTGGGCTCAAGCCCCTGTACTGTTTTTCCTGCTGAGCTTGCTTCCTGAGCAATCTGCCGCTTCTCTCCAAACCTCAGTCACCTCACCTGGCAAGTGGCAGATAAGGTAACGGGATCCCAGGCATATCAAGCGCCTGGCACAGGGCCTCGCCCATAGAAGATGCTCCCTAAATGCCAGCTCCCCTCCTCCCACTGGCTGGCTCTGGGTTCCAGTTCTGGCTCTGGTGGTGGGTATCAGCAGCTCCAGGGAACAATGCTCAGCCACCTGCCAGCCCCTCTCCCTGAGAACGGCCACCCCTTAAACTGGGTGACTCACTAGTGCCCCAGTGGCCTGCTTCTCCCACAACAAGCAACCCTCCTGCTCTGACACCTCATAATGAGCCCCTTTGTGTGACACCAGCAGCACCAGCAGGCGTGGCTGGAGTAAATGATAGTGTAACCCCTGCTACCCAAAACAACAACATCATAACTGTCAGAGCAATTTTCCACCTCAGCAGTTTAACACCTGAACTGTTGTGAGCTCCTTTCTCTTCCCTCCCTCCTCCCTGCTCCTGCTCCCTCTCTCTCCGTCTCGCTGCACTGAAGTCAGTCTGGCTCACAGCCATCTTCTCCAGAATCAGTGGCAAACAGTGTTTGCCCCCAAGAGCCAAGGGGCTACGGAATTAATCAGCACACAGAGTCTTCAGAGAAGACAGGAAAGGAAAAGCCCACAGACTCAAATATCCAATCTAGCATCTGTCAACATCTGGGTTGTAAATAATCCAGGGATTTTAAAAGGATTCCAATGTTAGACTGCCTCCAACTCCCTGGCATAAAGATGCGGTTATTAATTTTTATTTACTGGGATCATATTTATTTTCCTAGAATATGAGGCAAAGTGCTGGGGGGATGTGAGAAACAGACACCTCTAAAATGTTACCTCTCTGTTGGGAATCTGCCAGAAAAAGACACACAATTGGAGTGATGGTTAAAATCGGAACAACTGGTGGGGCTGAGGAACTGACCAATTGCCCTCCCTCCTGTATGCCTCTAAGTCGAAGGATCTTGATGTGGTCTCAGTGGGGGTGAGTCCTGGGGAGACACTGGGGTGGTGGGCAGGTAACCGTTCCTCAGGGACCTGGGAAAGCAACTCAGCTATTTACCAACCAGTATGAAGTATTTCAATATTTCAGTCTCAAATCTCAATCTCTCTCTCTTTCTCTTCTGTCTCTCTTCACCACCACCCCCCACCCACGCCACCCCGCCATGGAAACTCCCCATCATAGTCTTTCCCCAGGTAACTTTCAAGTTCTCTGACAGCCAACAAGATCCTTCAGGAGAACCCAGGGATCAAATTGGAATCACAGAGTCCAATGTTAAAGGTAGAAGAGATCACGAAGATGATAGATGTGAAAAATGAGGCAGCTCAAGTGGGACTAATGGGCAGGACCTGCGTGGGACCTCAACCCACTCAGTGCTCACTGTGCTGGTCTTTCACCAGAGCCTACCAGTCACAGGTCACTGCCCTGTGCTCTCATCAGGTGGGTGGCAATGCACAGCCATGTCCCACTCTCTCAGAAAAAGCTCAGAGGCAGGATCACAGGAGAGAGCCCCTCAGCTGAAACCTTTGCCTGTATCAGCCTCAAGGTGAGGGCAGGGAGAGTAGAACAGGAAAGAAGCTGGGCAGACCATCCAGAGATCAGAGATCGGAGCTCCAGGCCATTGTGAACCTCATGCCAGAAAGCACTCACATTTCCTGTCTTAGTCAATAGCTGGGGATCTTAAAGGCCAGAGAGCACTGAGGACAACAAACAGGGGCCAGCAGCAGCCTTGACACAGGCAGCAGCATTTTCTCCCTACTGGTCTGACACAGGGAGAGGTGGCAGAGCAAAGGGGTGCAACATGGGCCACCAATTGTGTCTGACTCTCAGAGAGGCCTGAGTCATGGAGGGTGAGGCTCCCTGAAGTGTTGGAACCAGTGACCCCCAAGGTGCTGGGGAGAGGTTGCTGGAACACTGATTCTGCAATTTGAAGTCCTCTGAAGAGGCGGTGTTGTGGTAAGGGAATGATGTTCAGTCTCAAACATTCCACAGAGTACTATAGAACCAGCATGCAGAAGATGCTAGGAGCTATCAGAACCAGCAAGGCTCAGGAGATCCTGGCAGCGAAGGTGTCTGAGCCAAAGCTGCAGGGTCCTGTCCAGGGCTGCTGTGAGAAGTCCGCATACTGAGCAGAAAGTTGGTTCGGGGCCTCTGAACTACTTCCAAAAGGAAGAATCTGGGAGTCCAGGCCACATATGCTGAGGGGACCAGATGTGTCCCCAAAGCACGGACAAGCACAAGACATCTGACCCAGCAGCTTCCTCAAGGGGTCCCAAGTGGGAAGGAGCAAGCCCTGCTCTACTCTGGGGCACCATCACCCTCCTCCATCATTATTTGTAAAAGCTGTGGTCACCATGGAAGGAATTCAGAGTAGAGAGAAGGTGGAAACTGGAGGTGGGGTGGGTCAGTGGGGAGGCAATTGCCAGGAGAGATATGATGTGGCTATGCCAGGAGGAAGCAGTGAAGGTAGGGAGAGGAAATCAGATTTGGACTACATATCAAAAGAAAAATCAACAGAATTTGCTGAGAGCTGCAGAGGAATGTGAAAGAAAGAGAAGAATAAAGGATGACTTTTCAGTTTCTTAGTTTGAGTCTATGAAGTGGGGAAGGTTGTAGGAGGGGCAGGCTGTGGTGGAGATCAGGTTTGGGCATGTTAAATTTCTGGTGTCTACTAGACATCCACATGGAGATTGAGTAGGAAGGGAGAAACACAATTCTGGAAGGTATGGATAAAGCCAAGGCTGAAATGAAACATTCGGGAGTGGTCTCCAGCTAATAGATGCTACTTAAGGCCACCAGACTGGAGGACATCAGCAAGGGCGTGAATAGATGGGCCCTGGCCCCTTCACCTCTGTCTACATCCCATCCTGTCTTCGGGGTGTGCTTTCTTCTCACACTCACAAATCCTGTATCTGGAGAAATGTGTTCAACCAGAAGAAACGGTCTGCCTAAGGATATAGAGCCAGAGGGCAGTGAAGGGAGCCCCATGAAGGCCCAGCCCCATCCCTCCCATTAGGCCATGAGTCAGAGGCGGCCAGCGTGAGCTCCTGCCTCTCAAGACTCCCACCTTTCTTCACATGCTGAGGTGGGAGACCCGGGAAAAGACTCTGAGCCAGCCCCATGCTCCTTCCAGATCCTGTGACTATGGTAAAGTCTTGGCACCTCCCTGAGCCTTATGACTCCCCATTAGTGGAAATGAGGCCAACACCCTTTTCATCCTGCGCAGGAAGACACATGTACACAGACAAGGCACGTGTTGTCATACACAGGGACATCGCCACGCACAACACTGCCACCCGCCCTGCTCAGGCTCCCGAGCGAGCCAGCTCATCCACTCCCAACTGGTAGAACAGAACAAGTCTTTGAATGAGAAAAAGAAAACCCAACTTGGCCGGAACTTGTCAAAGAGAGGGAAGAGGCACAAGCGTCCTCTCCCACCATCACACCTTTTATTCATCCCATATCATGTGTCACAGCAGCTACCAGATCCCGCCAAACTGGCCACAGGAAATCAATTCCTGGGGGGGCACCTACAATGTGCAAGGCTTTGTGCCAAGTATTCTCTCTAGTCCCCCAGTGTCCCCACCCACCACCCGGCAGCAACTCTGGGCCTGGAATCTCCTGCCATCTCTGCCCCCATTCCCTGCACTATTGTCACTCGAGAGGACATTGTTGGAAGCACTTCAGCGGGACTCCCAGCCCCCAGCACCTGTCCTGAAGATGCCTGACGGAGGAAGATAAATATATTTATAATATACAGCAAAGTGAATAACAAAGAATTTATATAGTTGTCTCTGACAAAGCTGACAAGCCAGGGCTGGCAGCTTTAATCAGTTCCCAGCTGAGCCCAGGAAATCTGCAGGAGCACAGCTCTGACCTTTTGGGCCGGTTTCTAAAGGGAAGGTTAAAGTTTTGTTGCAGAGTATTTTTTTTTTAATTTTAAATGAAAGAGGGGTGTGAGGTTGTACATACACGCCAGACTCCGAGGTGGTAATGGGAACACAGGAATAGGATTTTATTTTAAATTAATCCACGGATATACCTCCCGCTGCTGCTCCTCTGAAATGTTTTGCTCTCTGGGTGAGACACAGCTTTTCCCATTTGTTGGATGAAATACTTGCTTGCGTGAACGACTTGCAAATGGGCTGAAAATGCGTGTGGCTGCAGATTCCAAAGATTCATTTTTGATAAATACATTGCCAGAAAAGGGACTTAATATCTAGACTGTCATTCTTAAGCACTGCATCTTCTTTGTCCCTCTAACTAGGACTGTAGGGGACATTGGCAAGTCCCCAGGTGGTGTCACCCACAGGAATTTCTTGTGTGCAGAGTCAATAGTCAGGAGCTTTGTGAGGAAAGCTAATGAAATTTGGTTTATTTTTTTTTTTAAATTTTATTTTTATATTCCCCCATACAATTGCAAACGCCCCATTCTGACCCCAATCCTTCCCCTCCCGCCCCCCACCCCCCAAAAAGTGTCTCTGGTTCATAGTTTTTTGTTGATTTTGATTTTCACTTTCTTATATTCATTTTCCTGGTCCCTTATTTAAGTTTTCTAGATTCCTGCTAAAATGCAGCCTACCATTTAAAAATTCTCCTTCTCCAAAGGCAGGCTTCATGAAACACACCCTCCTCTTCCAATCAGATGGAATCATCTGGAATAGCCTAGCAGCTTCCTCAAAGCCTGTCTGCTCTATCCCTCGGACTGAAAACAGGACTGAGCGATGCCAGATTTTGGCAATAGCTGCTTCCCTTGGGGAGTGACAGCCCTTTGCACCCCACCTCTGAATCAAGCTCCTGGACCTGACTGCATACCAGAATCATCTGGGGTAACATAGGAGAAAGGAGATCTTACAAGGTCCAGGTTCCTGGGCCCCCACCTAACCCCATAGGTGAGAGGATCCAGAGCCGGGGTTCAGGATGCCAGCCTTTGAATGTGGATCCAGGATCCTAACAGGCAGCCAGGTTTAATAAGCATGGACCCCACCAGCCCCCATAAGATAAACAGTGGAAAAATCACTGCTCCTCAAATATTCCCTTCGCTTTCAGTGCTAAAACTTCCCCTTCAGAGAGAGGCCTGTTTCTATGGCACTCCCCACTCAAGCAAGAACCCATGTTTTAAAACATGCCAGACAACCAGCTCCAATTTCCATCTAGATATTTCTAATCTTCCACCCTATACCTTCTCAACTCTACCTTTTCAGACATATTCAAATTGCATCTCTTTTTATATATTCTTCATAGGCTGGGAATAAGTGTCACATATCTGATAAAGGGTTAATATTCAAATATATGAGGAACTCATACAACTCAGAGCAAAATAACAAAAATAACAATAATCCTATTTCAAAACAGGCAAAGGACCTAAAGAGACACCTTTCCAAAGAAGACATCTAAATGGCCAACAGCCACATGAGAAGAAACTCAACATCACTAATTATCAGGGAAATGCAAATCAAAACCACAATGAGATATCTATCTCCTCACACCTGGCAGGCTGGCCATCATCAAATAGGCAAAAAATAACAAGTGTTGATGAGGATATGGAGAAAAAGGAGCACTGTTGATTGAATGTAAATTGGGACTGCCACTACAGAAAACAGTTATCTATATGAAAACATTATTTTTTTTCTTCAAAACTTTAAAAGTAGAACTGCCATACGATCCAGCAATCTTATTTCTTGGTATAACCTGGAGGAGTAAAACCACCATCTTGAAGAGGTAAGTGTACCTCCATGTTTACTGCAGCATGATTCACAATGACCAAGACAAGGAAGGAACATGTGTCCAAGGACAGGTGAATGGATATAGGAAATGTGATAAATTACAGGTGCAGATACAGATGTGAATGTAGATATCTATATGGTGAATATTATTCAGCCATAAAAAGAAGGCAATCCTACCATTTGCAACAATGTGGATCAATTCTGAAGGCATTATGCTAAATGAAATAAATCAGAGACAGACAAGTACCATGTGAACCTATTTATACATGGACTCCAAAACATCAAACTCATAGAAAGAGAGATTAGAATGGCGATTGCCGGGCCGGGGGTAGGGAAATGGGAATATGTTGATCAGAAGGTTACAACAATCCAGATACAAGATAGATAAGTTCTGGAGATCCAATGCACAGCGTGGTACCTTTAGTTAGCTCTATACTATATGTTTGAAAGTCGCTAAGAGTAAATCTTAGCATTTGAGAAATCTCAAATGTTCTCACCACATACACACACATAAAGGTAACTATGTGAGGTGAGGGAAGTGTTAACTAACCTACTGTGGTAATCATTTCACAATACACTCATGTATAAAATCATCACATTGGACATCTTAAACTTATACAAACTTATATGTCAATTATAACTCAATAAAGCTGGGAGTGGGATTTAATGCCCTGCCTCCTAAGTGATTCATTTTAAACTGTTGTTTAGGGCTTAAAATTCAAACTTAGTCCAATTTTCTGAATGAGGTTTGAATTTATTCTTTGAGACTTGACCTTGCAGAGACGTTCCATGGGTTTCAACTTAGTTTGAGCAATGATTCTAAATCTGTCAGATTTATGAGAGTTTCTATGGGCATAACAAACCTCTAACAATCCTCTAGCAACTCCCAGGCCATGGAGTTAGCAGTCCTGTGTTCTTTCCACAGCAAGGAGCTCCATGCATCTGCAAGAACCTGCCTGAAATACTCCAGCCCACTGGATGCAGAGCCTCTACTTAAAAATATCCAGTGATGGGGAACTCACTACTTCCAGGGGCAGGTCCATCCCTCCACTGTCAAGGAGTGAGGACAATGTTGTACAAGGCATGGGGCTCTGGAGAGCATCGGCTGAGTGATGGGGGCACAGGGCGGGTGAGTTAGTGACAATGCACAGTGGATCCCGTTCTCCTATTATCCACTGAGCCCATCCTGAATCACTTCTTTCCATCCTCCCCCCACCCCACCCCACCCTGAGCTGTGCCCAGAAGCCCCAGAGCCCAAGAAGGACTAATAACCCCAGAAATGAATAAGTCGTCCCCTGTCCTGAGGCGTGGGGTCACTGATGGTGCTTCAAATCCATCCTTTTAAAGTTTGGAGATGAAATCCTTCTAGGTTTTTCAGGATCCTGACTTGTTCTGCAACTGTGGTCACTATAGACTCATCTTCTGCACAATCCAGACACATCCCATACCACAGCTGGACACTCAGTGACCTCAAGTACATAAGAGGACAGAAGAGACAAGATGCAGACCCAGGTACTAGTCCTAGAGGAACCACGGTGACATGCCAGACCACAGGGTGGACCTGTCACAGGTCTTGGTGAGTGGTGCCCTTTGGGCAGAGCTTTGACAAGAAGAATCCTGAGTTGGATTCCATAAGGTGAGTGGAGGAAGGCCAGCGAGGCCCTAGAAGAAAGCACAGTGGTCACTAGGACCTAATACCAGCTCCCTGAGGACAATGCCAGTTAGACTAACCACAGTTCTTCCAGATCAGGAAAAGGCAGAAGATAGCCTAAGGAATCTTCTGAAAGACTTTCAATAGGGTATCTTTCATGATACAGCCATTCCTTTCCCCATTTTTCTTTGCTAATGGAACTCCAATTTGCTTATATGATGGATGGAGACTCTTTCACCTCAAGAGAAGCACCAGTCCCAAAGGATGAGATAAGATTAGTGATCTCATCGCCCTTGGCCAGTGATTAGTGTGAGGGTGGCAATGTCACTGCTCTGGTGAGGCAGTGTATCAAGAAATTGGCTAGGGAGAACTCTCCTAAATAAAAGGACAAAGCCTTCTGAAGAAAAGCCTCCTTCTCTCCCCACTTCCTGCCTGGAACATAAATGTGATACCTAAGGGTGCAGAAGCTGTTTTGTAACCATGAGGAAATGGCCAGGCATGGCAGAGTCAGAGGGGATAAAAAGCTTAGATCGTTAGGACACGGTGGAGCCATTTTGCCAACCTCAGCTACTCAACCACCAGAAACCTTGCCATGTGAGAAATAAATACCTCTGTTTGTTTAAAATATTTGAACTGGTGTGGGGAAATCTTTTATTTGCAGTTGAACTCACTGCTAATACAACATCCATATGGGTAAGATAGAAATATAATTAGTAATGTCATTCACTCATTCAACAAGTACTTGTTGAGTGTCAAGGCACTGTCCTAGGCACTAAAAGGACACTCACACACACATGCGTGCACACACACACACACACATGCACACTACTACAAATATGCACCCCTTTGACCTTGAGTCCCCTATATTCTTGTGGGGAAGAAAAGATGATTAAGAAAATAGATACCACCTCTAAATCAAATGCAGTATTGTAAAGCAATGCTACCTCAATTAAAATAGATGATTGATAGATGAAAATTAGACATAAAAAGTATATATTATGTGGTGATAAGTATTACAGCAAGCATGGAAACAAACTCTGGTCATGGAATGCCAGAGTTGGTAGAGGTAATTGCAATTTGAAATAGAATGGTCTGGAAGACCTCAGTGAAAAGGTGAGGTCTGAGCAGAGGCCAGAGGAGAAGGACCAGCCACACAGGTGTTGGGTAGAAGTGGTCCAGGCAGAGGGGAGTGAGCCTGCACAGACTGACAAGGAGAGCCCCACCCTCCTGAAGTTGGCTTGTGGTCACAGGGCTTGCCCCCAATCCAGGCCTAGGTTCTTCAACTCATTTCTCAATGACTTTCACAAACACCTATATTACAGGCTCACAGATCCTTGAATAACATGAAATCTGACAGAGTTGGATGAGGATCTCAAAAGATCTTGACAGGCTGGAGCAATGGAATGAATGAGAGAAGATGAAATGTAACATGGATGGATGTAAGGGGCTACACTTTTGATCCAAAATATCAACAGCACAGCCCTGGATGGGGAAAGATGCAGCAACCAGATGAGGGAAGAAAGCACAGGAGTATTCCATGGCAGAAAACTCAACAGAAGAATATTTCACTAGTAAAGTTAACAATGACACCTCCATCTATTTCTCAATGGATGTGTTTTAAATGAGGGTTATGGCAGCCCCACTCTCCCTGCAAAGGTTGGACCAGATGTTGTTGGAGGCTGGAGTCCAAGTCAAACAGAGAGGTAAGAGTCCATACGGGGTTGAGATCAGGCTGAGAAGACTTGAGATCACCTCTCTGAGGAAGAATCTAGGAAGCTGGAGGAGTGGCTGCTTGGAAGGACACCCATCCCCTCTCTTAATTGCACATATTTGGGGAGCAGCTATTATGAACCAATCACTGGTTTTGGGAAATACACAAGTGCCTTCACAGACCATCAACACCAGCAATGACACCCGGGGCTTCCACACTTTAGAAAAGAAGTATGAAGTAAGAATCAAGAAAGCTGATACCATTCGCTGCTACACACAAATATGTATGTGCATAGATGTGTAAAATAGAAACAAAAGTTCCACAAAGTTCTTTTACCTTTACCACACATAGGCAATCAACTATTTTCTATTTTCTTATTTTAAAAATGTGATTTGGGGCCCAGTGAATTGATTCTATGACCCTCTCACAGTCTGCAATGTGGAAACACTGAACTACACTGTGGTAAATGCCACAGGAGCTAGGGGAGCAGAGATGAGGGATCAGCACTGACCTCCTGAGAAGTAAGGTGTGAGACTAGAAAAGGAGTTAGGAGACAACCAGGCAATTTTTTAAATAAAAAACAGCCCAGTGGTAGTAATGGGTATATAACAATGTGAATGTATCCTAATGCCACTGAACTGTATACTTAAAAACCGTTAAATGGTAAATTTTACGTTATGTATACTTTATCACAGCAAAAATTATTTAGACTTAAAAAGAGAGACTGAGAGAGAGGATGGTCCACAGTCATTGCCTTTAAATTGTGTAGCTTTGGGAAAACTATACAGCACTATAAAAGATGGAGCCATTGCCACAGGTAACAACATGGCATTACACCAAGCTCAAGAAGCCAGGTGCAGAGTGCTAACTGGACAATTCCATTCAGACAAGGTTCAAGAACAAGCAGAGCTTACATATGGCAACAGAAGCAACAGATGAGAATCATCTCTGGGACAGGAAATGGTATTGACTGAAAAATGGCATGAGTAATCCCTCAGGATAATAAAAATATTCTATATCTTGATGGGGGTGGGGAGGGCCACCCAAGTATATCCATTTGTAAAAATTCATCTATCAACCCATCTATCAGCAGAGGGGAGCGCTTTGCTCCCCTAGTTCCTGTGGCATTAGATTTATACATTTTACTGCTTGTAAATTATTCCTCAACAGAAAAGGAAAAAAAAGAAAATATTTTTTAAAGGAATGGAAATGAATTTTAAAACAAAACATGATAGAATCATATCTTGGTAAAGATTAAGTTCAATAGGAGAAAAGGCCAGAGAGAAATTTAATAATAAAAACTATACCTCCTATATATAGGGGAGAGATCCAGCATGACTAACTCCTACCCTTGCAAATCACCCACAAAAATTCATATATATATATGGTTGAATACAACCCTGTAACAATGTTCATATGTGCTAAAGTTTGAAACCACTGGATTCAACAAAGGCTAAAACAAAGGGAACATTGAGGCACAGGTGCCAGAGCCTCTAGCCACTCATATTTTCTGTGATTGTCACATCTGTGGTGGGAGCAGGGGCAGGAGGGAGAAGAGCAGATGGCTTATGTCCTCCCATCCAGGTTCATTGCATCTTGATTTAATATTGAGCCACTAGAACATTTTTTGTTATATAAAACTGATTTGTTATAGTGAAAATTAAATGAGCTGGGTTCTGCAGCTAGCAGAGAAGTTAAACACAACCATTACTCTATCTTTAGGTTTCTTCTGTTTGACCCCAAGGAAGAGAAATAAGATGGAAATGTTTCCAGCTTGAAAGAAGAGCTTGTGAACTGAAATGCAAGAACTCCCCAAAGATGGATGGGCTGATGGATAGTAAGCTCCCCATCTGCAGAAGGAATGCAGAGGCTAAACATTTGTCAGACCAAGTAACCTTTAGAGGCCCCTTCCAGCCTGGAGCTTCCGAGCTGGCCAGATCTCCGGGCTCCCTGTTCTGGGCACGTCCCCTCTGCTCGCAACTGCCTTGACAATGAGATGTAGAGCTGGAGAGAGGGACCTGCCAGGAACTCCAGGTGGTTGTGCTCATAGAGGATTGGTGTGCCGCCCCTGAGGATTTACAGCCTTCCTCCTGAGTTATGGGAAGGCGGGCGGAGCCTATAAAAAGGAGCCATCCAGGCTGTGTGCTGCACGGGGCATCAATCAGCTGCAGTCTGACCACTGGAGCAGAGTGGAGATCAGTCTGCTGGTTTCTCACCTATAAATTCTCCCTACCTGCACAAGAGGAGCAGATGTGTCATATTTAGAAGAACTCATGCCACAGTTTTAATTCTGGAGATGCATGTGGGGGTTGAGGGAATATGAGGGGGAAATAACCCTAAATGTGACCTCGGCTGATCATCTCTTTCCCTCCTGTCCTATCCCTAAGTGAGCTGAGTGAGCAGATGAAAAGGGACCTATACCTGGTAGCATGTTTACTGGATTGGAGTAGGGTCCAATGTAGCTTGAACAAGATTACAAACCCTGAGCTGGAGTCCTCATACCTACTTCTGGGGATGAGGAGTGGGTATCCTTCCTGTAGCAGCTATAAAAGTGCCAGGAAAGACAGAAAGCAGGAATGCTGTAGATGGACAGAAAAGAGCAAATCCACCCTGGAGCCAGAGTGGCACTGCACAACTCTGTAGGCATTCTTCATTTCACTGCCAACGTGAATGGAATTGTGCAGTGCACAGCCCAGGTGACTGCACACATCATTCCTACTGGTCCTACACCAAAGTTATTTCTTTTTGAGGATGGGGTAGT